GCTGGAGCTGGCGCCTTCACTGGCGCTGCAACTGTCAACTGGGGGCAATTGGCCTTCTTGTGGCCCCTCTGGTTGCAGTGAAAACACAGCAACTTGGATGTCTAAATAGCTGAAACTGGAGCAGTACAATCCTGCTAAAGTGCCCTGTCTTGCCGCACTTGTAGCAGCCTCCTGATCCCATCCTACATACCCCCACGTGCATCCTGCCGCATTTCCCGCAGCGGCTCGATCCTGATTGACCTTTCGGCCTACCATCTGATCCCTTGGGCTTCTTCCCCGAAGCCCCTCCAGCCTGACCGTCCTCTAGTTTCCGTTTCCGGATGTGCTCCAAATCTATCTCCCTCTCCCTAGCCCTGGCAATCATGGAGTCTAGGGTAGGGCAAGCCGAAAAGCTAACATGCTCCCGGATGTCAGCTCATAGCATATCATGGTAACGAGTCCTCCTCATGTCCTCGTCACCAGCATACTGGGGCACCAATAAAGCCCTCTCCCGGAACTTGGCGGTGATCTCCGCCACAGTCTCCGTCGTCTGCCTCATGTCTAGAAACTCCCTGGCCAGCTGCTGAAGCTCGACCGCCGGCGCAAACTCTGCCCTGAGCCTGGTCACAAAGTCCGACCAGGTCATTGCCTCGACAGCTGAGGCTCCCAACGAGTCACCCACTGACTCCCACCAATCCCGGGGCTCGGTCCCGTAAACACCCTGCTGCGTATCTCACTTTCGACCCCTCGGGACAGAAGCTAGTCAACTGGGCAGACTCGATATCTGCAATCCATCGCCTGGCGACAATGGGGTCCTTCAGCCCATGGAAATCTGGCGCACCACTGCCCTTGAAGTCCTTGAAGGACAGTGTGCGAGATCCTGACTGGCTAGAGGCCATATCGCTCCCGAATGCCCGTAGGCGATCCTCCATCAACTCCATGATCCCTTCCTTGATCGACCCAAAGTGAATGGGGGTCGACTCAAGGATGACCCTGGTGATCTCTGACGTGATGAACTCACGTAGCCTCTCATCAATCGGCTCGGAGCCTGATCCCGAACCTAACCCCTCTCCTGAACCGCCATCTACCGGTCTCGATCGAAGTACCACCATTCTGCAATACATCACAATAATCATTAGTGATACTGCTACTTTCTGAGGGATCACAACTACTTACAGGTTCCCTGGTCTTATCTTGGCCTTCCTTGGTTCGAGTACGGATCCTCTGCTTTCAGTAGTACGGGCCCATACTACCGTCCACATCTATCCGTACCTTCTCCAAGGAATGCCTTGACTCCACCAGATCCCCTTCACTACTGCCGATCACAACTATACTCATCCTAGGCTTGCCCTAGGGAGATCTCTAATTCTACTCTAACCAGTCCTCAGCTGCTGCAGGCCTCATTGTAATGCCAATTGGCCATTACCCGAATACCATCACATGTGACGAGGCTCAGATAATCCTTCGAGTACCAGACTCGTCCCTACAACGGTTGGACTCAAACAAGAGCTGCGCAGTAGGATCAAATTCATCACTCTAAGATTATCCAATCCTGATTACATGTGACGTGACGCATTCGCCTAATGGCTAACTCCCATTATGCAGAGTCCCATGAAGCACGAAGCAAGACACATTCAGACAAGGGTAACAATCTCAATTAACTCTATCCACTTTCAGGAACTGAGCTAGCATATAGTGCTAAACTCATACTACCAGGCATAACCTAATCAGGCTATCCTACTTACTGTCTACTAATAACTAGCATGCAATTTCTCATACAACTGAAACACAAATAGTAGGCACATAAGGCATCACTCCTAGATCCTTAGTCCTATTCTAGCATGCGGTTCTACGAAAGCTGATAAACATAACATAAACTTGTATGGGTACTATGGGGAATACTTACTTGAGCTCGGCCGGTCGCGCACGTCACACACTTCGCTCTTTCTTAAGACTCTTTTCTAAATTTTAGAAACATTTTCTTTTAGAAAATCTTTCAATCCCTCGATTTGAGTTCAGACACTCCCGAAGACGTGTCCGAATCCCTCAAACCAGGGCTCTGATACCAACTTGTAACGACCCAATTTTCACATCCAAAATTTTTTGTTTAAAAACGTTACTTTAGAAAATATTAATAACTAAAACATCATTGATCAACCATAATATAAACTGAACCATGTCTGAAAACCAAAACATACAACTAATCAGAATATCAGAGTATCAATCCCAGAAAAGCTCGTAAATGCGGAAACCGGAGAGTGTGTGTGTGACATGCTGCTACCGCGCCGGCTCCTTTCCCCTAGCTGAGGAGGTACCTGAAACCAAAACTGAAACCGTAAGCACAAAGCTTAGTGAGCTCCCCCATAATACCCCATACCATGCAAGCATATAACAAACAACATTCAATTAGGAGATACGGGCCACGCCCACACTCGTGAAGATACGGGCCCCGCCCACACTTCGCTTTCTGGAGATACGGGCCACGCCCACACTCGTGAAGATACGGGCCCGCCCACACTTCGCTATCTGGGAGATACGGGCCTAGCCCACACTCCACTCTCGGAGAGATACGGGCCCGCCCACACTCAACCGCCAACTCATATCATACAAGTATCGCACAGACAACAAGTGTAACAATTCTATCATACTGGCATATATCATAATCAACTCAACTAAGAGATACGGGCTCGGCCCACACTCTAATACTAACGTCTCGTCTATACGGGCCGGCCTTGGTGCCTTAGACCCGTTACTACTGGAAGGAAACTCACCTCGAAATAGCTGCTGGTCTGTGTGGGAATTGATCACCTACTACTGCTGCTGCTGCTCCGGAAACTCCCCGGCTGTAATTCCCACAATATACTTAATCATACACTGCTAACTGTCCTTTGGGTAAAAAGACCATTTTACCCCTGGTCTAGCCCTAAGTCAATTAAGTCAACTTTTAGTTGACCCGACTCGCCGAGTGGATCTCCACTCGCCGAGTCCCTGTCCAGACAATTGTCCTGGGTCCCTGATTCTACTCGTCGAGTTAGGCTATGACTCGACGAGTTCATCTTCTAAACTGACATTCAACTCCTTCATCCTACTCGCCGAGTTGTATGAACAACTCGTCGAGTTCATCTTCATCCGAAGAACACTTATGCTAAGACTCGCCGAGTTGTATGAACAACTCGCCGAGTCTGTTCTTGATCTATGAAGATTGCCTTGGACTCGCCGAGTCAGGGCATTGACTCGCCGAGTCCTAACATGGGTGAGTTCAGCTCCCAACTCACCGAGTCACCCCCTGTGACTCACGGCTCAACTCGATACATCATAAAGGGACCAATTCGGTGACTCGCGACCAGACTCGCCGAGTCACTATACGACTCGCCGAGTCGCCGCCATGCATCCACCAAATACACCGATTTGCTCGATTTCAGTCCATGCCATTCATAGATCTGGACTTCTAGGACACAAATCACACGTAAAGTTTCCAACTTTACGTGTGGATATTCACCAATATGGATTTTAGGGCTCAAAATGCCTTAAAAGGGTAGATCTAGGGCTAACAAGCAACATGGGGCCATAAAGCTAACAGATCTGAGCTCCTGGAGCTCAATCTTGCCTAGATCCAGAGGCCAAACATCTTATACGACATATAATGCACATACAAGCTTGGGGATTTGACCAAGAAAGACCCAAATGAAGTTTTAAGCATAGAATCATGGGGAAAACGGGTTATACCTCAAAGGAACTGTTGGAAGAACACAATAGTTGCTTGGTTGGCTTTCCTTCTTCTGGATCTACTTCTTTCCTCCTTCAAAACCTTCAAAAACACCCACAAAAGTCTCAAACTCTCAAGGAATGGCTTAGGACGAGGTATACAGGGCTCTAAGGGTGAATGGGGGGCTGGCTTGGGGCAGTTAAGTCGTTTAAATAGGGTGCAAACCCCTGAAACTTAGGGTTTCATCCAACAGCGGCGACTCGCTGAGTCTAGGATATGGACTCGCCGAGTCGCCAACTTAAAACGTGACCTGGGTCGCGTTTCTACTCGGCGATTCGGACCCATGACTCGCCGAGTCCAAGGCTAAAAATGGGAAATGTTCGAATAAGATTGACATACCAGAAACCAGGTGCTACAATTACATAGTTGTTTTGGAGATGGTGGCGATAAGGAGACACATGATGGTCGGATAGATCTATATTGAGAACGACGACGATGGGGGGAAATTCTAAAGCCTAGCCACCGTTGCCACCTTCGATCCCTGCTAGATCTTGATTCGTTATGGTTGTTAACGACGACCAGGTCATAGAGTTTCACGATGCGCGACGCTAGGGATCCCTTAATAGGAGGAGGATAATGTCGTCGTCTGAGGAGGATATTGGAGACCCATGATACAATCTGATTTCGTCTTTTTAACGTGTTCATCAAAAAACCCTTCATCCTTCATCCTTCATCATATCTGATTTTGTGTATGTGTTCTTGATTGTGTGTGTTTGGAGAATAAACCTAAAAAATATGGAGTGTTTATGTATGTGTTCATTAATATGAATATGTGTTCTTAAGTGTGTTTATATTTGTAGATGGAGAGAGAGAGAGAGAGGAGAGAGAGAGAGAGAGAGAGAGAGAGAGAGAGAGAGAGAGAGAGAGAGAGAGAGAGTATTTTCTTTTCACCTTTTATTTAATTTTTATAATAAAAAAAACCAACAAAAGAAAATATCAATGGCAAAATAGTTATTATAAAAATTTAAAAATAAAATGGACCAAGTTGACAACAAATGAAAATTTTGGACTTTAATACTAGTTTAAATTTTTTTGGATAAAAATGACAATTTTGAGTTAACCACATAATAGATCGACCATTCGTATAGTTTTGTCTTCTTTAAATTATAAAAAGTTCAAACATAATTAAATAAACTGACCAATAGTTTTAAAAATATTTCACATATATCATAAAGTATGTAATTGTTAATAACACTTTTTTTTTTTTTGAAATATTATAGAATTTTTTTTTTTTTTTTAAATAGAGGCTACTAGAATCGTGACGTCAGGCATGACCAATAAGAAGTTCTCGAGTCCTAGAAAACCCTCTCAATTTCTGTCGATTACACAACAAAATACAAATAACTAAGTTCCATTATAATCGATTTCTTCATTTATAAATGGAAGCTACCGCCCTACAGGTTTTCTCTCATCTCAATTTCATTTATGGGGATTCTTATGTACTTCTTTTGTTCTATGATAAGTCTTTATGAAATCTTTACGACGATCTGATCAATGGATGTTAGTTCTAATGACTAAATAGTTATTGATTCTAGATGTGATATAATTGCTAGTTTACAACAATTGAACTCCCATTTTAGAATCTATGGTATACAAAAATGAACAATTTGTGCCGGAAGTTGTGAATTTGACTCTGTTTTGGTCGGTAGATGTGTTTGACTCTGTTTTGGTCCTTCCTGAGAACGGTATACAATCGGACAAACTTAAATAGCTGTTTTTTCTTTCTTTTTCTTTTTCATGTTGCTGCTTTCAGAAGTTGATGAAGATGACAATTGGAAAGTTCAGGAAAGAGTTTGAATATGAACACATGACGAGAAATCAAAATAAGGTCAACGGGGTTGTCTTTTTTCCAGATGACATCCTTTTGGATATCCTTAAAAGGCTTCCTGATGCTTTCCTTCGTTATAAGGCTAAGTATGTCTGTAGACGATGGTTCCATATAATCACCAACATGATCTTGCTAGACCATGCTTCTTTCATCCTCCAGAAGCCAACTGGAATCTACAGAGCACGCCATGTGGACATAAGGGAAGAAAGACAAGGGCTAGAAGTGAAAGAGCGGTATCTTCACATACCTTGCACAGGTAGGATAGAGTCATGGTGTAATGAGTTTCTTCTGATAAGGGATCTTGATAGAAAAGGATCTGTATATCTTTTTAATCTAATCACCAAGGAAGGATCATATCTACCGCTTTGTATATCCTGTGTGGGACGCTATTTTTGCCTATGTGGAGTGGCACTTTCTTTTGACGGATTGAAGAGAGTATACAAGGTCCTTCGTGTGTCTATGGGCCCACCAATGCAATGCGATATTCTTATTTTGAAAAAAGATATCGTCTCTTGTGTTTCCTCAAAGTGGAAAAATATCAAAGTCCCGTGTTATATGAGTCAAGGAATGTCTAGTTGGTTTCACCCGGTTTCAGTTCAAGGCAAGTACTTTCACTGGAGTGCTAATCTTTCTAAGTACCTGGTTTCTATGGATATGGTGAAAGAGAAATTTTTCCAATTGCACCTACCTAAAAGTTCTGGTGATCGTATGATAAACCTCTATTCTGTTTTTGAGATGGGTGGTTTCCTTACTCTCATTGGTGGAGTTTCTTTGGACAAAGTTTACATATGGAGTCTTAAAGATTTTCGGAGGATGGAGTGGGAGAAGTTGCAGTTAGTAACTTTCCCGGATCAGTACTTTAGAATATATCCCATTTCAACTGTGATAAGTAAGAGATATATTATCTTCAAGGATTCTGAATCAAGTAAAAGTATGTATAGTTATGATTTGAAATATGGAGTAGTTATTATTAAAGAGCTGAAAATCAACATTGGAAGTGATCTTTGTGTGGTTCATACATCAGCACCAAGTTTTATATTGTCAAGGGGGTAATACATGCTACTGATTTCAAAAACTACAAGTAGCGAGTTCGAGAACTTAAAGAGGAGGTATCACTTAAGTCCGTATGTAAGATAATGGGATGTCATCCATTTGTACTAGTATTGTAGCCTTGATTATATGGCTTAATTTTTAGATAATGGGATGTTTTGGACCCATTGATCTGACAGGTATCCACCTTTTTTGTGTGGTCCTTTTTTAATGGAAATCTGAAATGTTGTACCCATAACATCTGTGAATACCATTTCAAACTCTATAATTGAAGCAACATGGAATCATACGCAGAAGAGATTCAAAACTGAACATTTTCTTTTTAGTTTGTACATATTTGTTACAATTTATCGTGTTTAAATATTGAATATCGACTCTGAAACAAAATCCTTTGCCCAAAATCCGAAGAACCTCTCCGACAAGGATTTTGTTTTCATTTCAAATAGGTAATTAATCAATGTGTATTCTCGGTAGTTAGGCATAAAAAGTCATTATCATGTGGTGATAAGCCCCCGGTCCATCAGGTCTACACTCGCAAGAAGAAATGTCCCAAAGTTGGCAGCCCAATGAATCATGGCCAATCTAGTTTTCCGCAGGGAACAGATCAGGGGCAATTTGGTCTTTTTGGTGTACCCAACAGCTATGGAGCAGGAGACACTGAAAGTGGAGAGGATGTTTAACGTCTTTTAGCATGGCAGTCCTTGTTTTTTTGTCCTTTTATTAGTATATAGCTGGTAGTGGTATCTTTTGGGGGTTATGTTGATTTTGTATTTGCTTATGCAAACTTGGAGAGCACTCACCTCTCGAAAGTGAGTTTTATCTTCCATTTCTATGAATATCATTCCAGTTTCATAGTCTCTTGAATCCACATTGCAGTTTTGGTTAGATTATTTTAGTGAGAGCTTATCATGTGGTTCGGTAAGTAGTTGAGTAGTAGGTTTAGTTTTCCAAAATGATAAACGAAGTGTGAAATCCAAAGAACATGCTCGAAAGGAATACCATATCCGAAATACAAGCAACTTCTCTGACATGCAATACCCAATTTTTGTTTTAACGACTTGATATGTTGTTATTTTAGCATAACCATGTGCATGGTGCTTTGTTGACAATGAAATGAAATCCATAACTTGGTGGAATAATAACTGGCAAGCCATAATCTTCCTCAATGTGTGAAGCAATTTTTAAGCCGTCGTGCTTTGATATATAGCTTGATGTCCTGGTGTGGAAGAGGATCCATCGTTTTAGCAATACATGTTTATATAAAGAGGCATGTACAAATCCACAACTCAACATAGATGAACTATATTTTGAGGTGTGTGTCTAATGGCTCTATTTTGGAAAGAGGGGTTATTGTCTTATAACGGGCCAACGTTTGTGGAATTTATTCAAAGTCGTTTGACATCAACGAAGTGCATGAAGTGGTTGCTTCCATTTGTAAAAGTAACTAATGTGGTGAAGTTGAAAGACATAGATGCGGTTCTCACTTGATAAATTATTGAAGGGGGAAGTGAAACGAGTGTGTCTAATATATATGTTAAATAACAATTCGAAGGGAGAGAGCCTCGTCAGCCAATCAAGGATGAGAACCTTTTTAACATCCCTAAATACACGTACCATAATATTTTCCATTCTGGGCATCACAACACGAAAACTTCCCAGGTCACCGATCATTAAATTTCTCCCTTGGGACTCCTTAAGTTGAAAGATCTTATGGGATCTACTGCCATTATAATTTTAAAACGCGTTCTGACCAGGAAAGTATCCACACTCCTTAGAAAGAATGCTTAATTCTAATTCGCAATCGAGTGGGGTCAGGTGCATGTAGGAACCCATATTCACCCCTTTACAAGGTTCAGTGTCCTTGTTGAATACATCGAATCGTGCCCTAGCTTTGATAATATTTGTAAGATCCCATATAGCAAATACCACAATATTATCCGTTTTGGGCCAAGATCCCATATAACAAATACCACAATATTATCCGCTTTGGACCACCTGAAACGCAAACTTCCCGAAGGTGACCCATTATAACGCGTTTTCCAAATCGTTATTGTTCGGGGAGCTGTATGGCAAGTGGGGCAAAATCATATAAAAGTGTAGAGTTTCTCGTTACCTTTTTATGGACATAAGGACCGTCGAAATCGGATTTGTAACGAAGAAGTTATGACCTTCGGAGTATTTTAGGGTTTGAGAAGGAACCCTAGTGTGCGGGGCGTACTGATACGAAGGGTGTTACGCCATACATAGTGGGGCGTACACTTAGCATAGTGCGATGTTTGGATTGGGTTGCGATACTCGTATGTTGGGCATACGAGGAGTACACTAGGCCTACCAGGATGACTAAGAAACCCTAATTTTTCGTGATGTACCCAATATAAGCTTTATGTTAGCTTCTTTTGTTCATTTCTAAGCTAGCCTCCATACCCTAAAAACCGTAGATCGACCCTTGTGGCCTCTTGGTGGTGTTTGTGAGCTATTAGAAGGTCTTGGTGCACATTTTTTCCTTGGGAAGGAAAGAAGAGAAGCTTGAAGTTGTTTTGTTTGGTGGAAAGGCTTTGGATCCAGGATCATCATCTTGTGGGGAAGCTTTCTGAGGTATCAAGTTTGCATCTTGGCTTGTATATGCCTAGATCTCTTTTTGGTTAGTTTGTTGTGATTTTGGTCTCCTTTTTTAGGTTTATGGATGAGTTGGGTTGCTTATGGGCTTGTTCTTTTAGATCTGAGTTTGTTTTGGTATCCTTGAGCATAAAGGTGTAAGCTTTATGTGAATCTCAGTATCATACATGGATTAAGTCATCTATTAAGTCCCATTTAAGATTAAGAACTTTATTTATCCATGTATGAACGTAAAGTTGGCAACTTTACGTGATAATCCAGCTCAAGGAAGTCAGATCTATGTTTTGGAACTTTACGTGATAATCTAGCTCAAATCAAGTTTGGGCTGAATAGGGTGAGTGCGTTGGGCGTACAAGCAGGTACACTTAGCGTACAAGCCTCCAAGCGAGTACGTTGCATGTACGCCCCCACGTACTCGATCTGTTGGGCCTTGTATGTTTGGGCTATCTTTTGGGCTTGGTTGCTTAGGGCTTTGTTGGGTCATCTGAGAATATGTGTTTTGGATTATGGAAAAGTTAATGGGCTTTAGGGTAAGGCTCATGTAAGGGTTGGGCCGAATTCCGAAAATTGGGCCATAAGTGGGTTTTGGATAATTATTGGTTTGTGGGCCTTTATGATTGGGAGTTTGGGCCTTAATCTTAGACCAAACTAGGTGAGGGGTAAAATGGCCTTTTTACCCTATATATAGATTGTTGGATTTAGATTGGAACTCAATTGTTAATTGGGTGTTATTTGTTTGATAGCACGAGGATTCTAGCGGATCTACATTATTTATTCGTGGGTAAAAGACCAATTTCCAGAAATCCAAGGCCCAATCTAGATCCATCTTTCTAAAGGGTAAAAGACCATTTTACCCATCCCAAAACTTATCCAACATCTCATGGTCCAAGCCCAAAAAGGCCCAAAAATGAACACCCTGGAGAGTACACCCCGCATACTCACCCCCGAAGCACAATGTACAAGTTGTTGTTGCATGATACAAGCATTAAGCTGAGGCCTAAAATCCATAATAAGCTCTTATTGGGTTTAGTCAAAATGTCCAAACATAGATCTAACCCTTAAGGGGTGTCTTAACGTGTAAAGTTGGCAACTTTACTTCTTTGCATGACTTAAAGGGACCCAATCCTTGTTTTTATCCATCTAAACTCATAATATGAACACAAACTTAAACATGATTTAGCCAAACCCATCAAGATGATATTTTTATGGTTCCTAATAACTACATAATGGATAAAGTTTCAAACTTTATCCATAAGAATGGTGTAACCAACCAAGATCTAGTCTTTAAGTCTCAAAGGGACCAAAAATGCATCTTTTCCAACTTTATCAATTAAGTCCAAGTCTCAAGCTTTTAGATCTGAATCATATGATGTTTAGATGGATAAAGTTTCTAACTTTATCCATAACAAGGTCACAAACTTTCAAGATCTAAACTTTATGCATTAAAGTGACCAAAAGCTCATAACACCCAAAACTAGCTAGATCTAACAATTTCATCATCAAGATTCGAACTTTATACCTCTAGAAGAAAAATCAAGGTGAACAAGGTTTGGATCTTCAAGCTCCAATGCAACCAACGCTTCTTCAGTGAGTTCCTTCTTCTCCAAGGTGCACCAAGAACACTCCAAAACTCTTAAAAACACATTCTTTTTGCTCACAAGGCTTAAACTAGGGTTAGGATTTCAAGGGAGGGTGTTGGAGAGGTGGAGGCTGAGAATGGAATTGGTTTAGGGAAGTTACGGAGCTTAAATAGGGTTAAACCATGAAAATATGGTTTGGACACTGAACGCGTACACCCAACATACTCAATTTACACCCAGCATACTAGGGATGCCCTAGTACGCCCTACATACTCCCCGTACGCCCCACGCACGTGGCTAACCCAAAAATGGTTCTAACTTCAAACGGTCATAACTTCTTCGTTTCAACTCCGGTTTCGACGATCCTTGTATCCACGGAAAGGTAATGAGAAGCTCTACAACCCTATCAACTCTTCCTTGCCTTCAAACTTTCCGAATTAAATCCAAAATTCATAAAAGGCCCGCACTGTCACTTTACGGTTATACCCTTGGGCTCCAAATCACAAAACGAACTCTCGGATCACCCAATCTACATCATTCACACCCAAAGGGCCTGAATCTCTCTTTCCCCAAGGCCCAAAGCCTTGTAATAACCGATCTTCAGTTCACGACCCCAAATTAGAAAACGATTCGGAACAGGGTGTTACATCCATAACATGTACTACGATATTATCCAATTTGGGTCACTCGACACGAAACCTTTCCATAGGTCACCTATCCTGAAAGTTTTATCCTATGAGCATCTTTAACTATAGATCTCTCATTGGATATGTTACATTACAACTTTAAAATACATTGTGATAGGGAAGGTATACAAACCCCTTATAAGTAATGGTTAGTTGTCTATTGCAGGTTCGATGTCCATGTTAAATACATTACAACTGTAAATAAACCCAAAAGCTACGAATTTAATTATCGATTACGCCCTAGAAAAACCTCATTTTCTATCAATTACTCACCGGAAACATACCTTAAATAATCATGGATCTATTAGCAGTTTAGCAACCTACATGTTTTCTCTCTTTCATCGTATTGTCGCAATTTCGTTTAATTCGCCTCTCATGTGCTTCATTCTTATGTCGTCTTGATATTAAATGTCTCTTTCTGAAAATGTCGGTTGTGTGTGAATCGTAGATGTGATATAACTACTATTTTAAAATAGTTGATCTCTGTTTTAGAATGTATATTATAGAATCACATATAGTGATCTATTTGTTTTGAACATGTTACAGAGGTAAATCTTTCCTTTCATTCCACTTTAGATGAAATAACCTTTGTTTTTATTTTTTTGGAAATGGTATGCAATTCTATTCGAGGATTGGTCAATCCAAAACAAATACATTGCATATTTTTTTTAATGTTTGAAAACTTATTCATGTCGGTATAATGGCATTTAGAAAGCAAATATGCAAAATTGTCAAGCAAACCATAATCACTTTACATTCTTGGATTTTATGGCTATCTCTTTAAATTATCAAATGTGA